AGATTGATATCCACCTACTGTCGGTCGCTCTGACTGGCTGAAATGATCTTATCAATTGGGTAAATGATGAAAAGACATTTTCTCAATTTCAACATTACCATGCCTCTAGATATGCCCACTTCCTCTGGGAGGCAGCGCAACGAGCTGGATGAGTCGCTGGGCGATATCACAGTTACTGACCGCATCTTAGACGACGCCGATGTCTTGACGGCAATGTCTTCGAAACCTTTGATTCATACATCACCGACCCGAATAACTGGCTCTTTCTCGAGTGATGCTGCACCGAGATAAAACGAAGGCGTATCCGCGGCTATCCCGCATTGAAATCAATATCTTCTCAATTCCTCCTAAATCATCTGATGTAGAGGCTTACCTCTCATCGGCATGGTGTACGCTGTCATGGGCTAGAGAACGTAGAACCTGGCGGAGGTTGAGTGGAACCTGACTGTGTGGGCAACTGAATACGAGAGGGTATCATTGTATCCAGGTCTCACGGCAGTAGGGGGGATATTTCGAGCGTTGCTGTTGAATTTAGCATTGAAACAGGCAGATGTGTTCCTAGATGGGGGTAATTTGATGTCCTTTCTTCTAGACTGCAAGGACGAGATGTGGCTTATCTGGATATCAACTTTGCTAAAGTGGCTATGTGGCTATACGGGTATCTATCTGGATATATCGATATCCAGATAATTTTCCCCACTTATCTGGATATCGATATAAGGGCCGGAATGTCGGTGGATATCGATATACGCAGGTCTGGGCAGCAGCATTACGAAAGTCATTTTTAGTCTGGGAGGATTCCCGTCCTGAATAATCAACTGAACAACAATCTTTTGAACATATAGTAGAATTCTCTCCGCGATACTGTAGTGCCATCGTATTTCTGACAAATAATTATAGAATTGTGTCAGATCGCATCGTGCGAGTGTTGAATAACACTGTGCCCGGTCACCAACCGTAGGGCTTAGAACAACAAAGATTGGATGCCCTCAAAATGATGGATAAGGTCGTCTTCATTGATTGAACAAGAAAATCTTGGTGTAATTTCTAACTGTCATCATAACTGTTGTGAATGGACAGAGATAGCAGGAAAACGCCATTCTGAGGGGTAAAGGCTCGGGCGAAAGGAAGTAATTGCTATTTAAAAAAGCCTGCTAGAAGAGAGACCTAAAACAGGGGAGAACAGGAATAATCAACTATTTTAAAACCCGATAGACGGTATCCCCCGTGACTTGTGCCACCGTATTTCTAACAAATTGGTACACGTGATCGCGGGCAGGGGGGTCGGAGTATAGAAGAAGCTAAAGCTTCAATAAAGTCAAAGGAGTCAAATAAATTGAATTGGAATGACGCTAAACCAAATCAAATCCGCATCTAGTATACTTGAACAAATCAAATTGACGCTTGGATTTGATTTGATTTATTTCCTTGCATGTGCGTCAACCCATTTCCAGAAAGAAAAAGACGTGGCCCCTGTCCCCTCCAATTCAGCCAATCACAACCAGTTGCCACCGTCACGGTACCTTCCAAAGTCCGGACGCGAGTCATGGGCCATGACTGCTAGCGTCTCGCGGGGTGCAAGGAATACCAGACATGTCAATATGTTGACATGAATGTTGCGAGAGTGATTTGAACAAGGCTCAAGCTGTCTGGCTGTAAGTAATTGAGTCGGTCTAGTCGTCCCACACAGGACGACAATCGTCTGGCCCATCGCAGACCTCGGTGGGTGCTTTTGTCAGGGCGTTCAATGCTGCGACCACCTCTTGATGGGTCTCAAACGCAGGATTCTTGGCCGTGTCAACAGCATTTTTGACAACCCAACAGTTTGGGACAAGTTTCCCCTTGAATTTTAGGGTTCGAATTTTGTCGTCGGGACGAAGCGTGCAGGACTCATCAAGCCAAGTCTTGGACCCGGCTATGTTGACGGACCCCGGTGGTGGCTCCGTCTTGCCGCCCTTGCAATACGAGAACTCATTCTTGAAGTAAGCGTCAGGCATAAAGCATGCTTCACCGAAGTTGGTGTAGTAGACGTTATCCACGCGGCAGTCTTCGCCGCAAAATGAATGGGTTGAGTTGTATCTCAGGCCGACTGTGTGGTAACCAATGCCTGACTGCCCTGATGTAAGGGAACAGCCCCACTTTAGGACTTAGATAGCTCGAGTCAGAGCTTCCTTCGGAAGCTCTTACTCTCCTTGTGAACAATCGCTTTATCCAAGTCGCACTTGACCTTGCTCGTGCCCTTGTACCGTCACATATTGTTCACCTGTACCTCGATATGGTAGATCACTGTCCTCGACGTGAACATCGCCAATCCCGTCATTCCAAAGCCTCACCCCACCGAACGCAGAGTTTTCTCACCCCCTTTTCCCACCAAACCAACGAACCAAACAAACGAACCCAAATGACTCAAACCTAGCGAATTCAAGCTGACGAAAAAGAAACCAACGAACCACTAACGAAACGAAATCAACGAACCACTTTAACGAAACGAAATCAACGAAACGAAAATCAACGAACCCAAACTAACAAAGGAATTCAACCAAGCCAACCAAATCAACCAACGAAAACTTAAGGAAA